AATCACACACAGATAACTTAATCCTAATCACTAGGCTCTATGGGTTACTACATGATGCTACAGAAACCTCTATTTCTGATCAATGAATGACATGAACTGATGGTAAAAAACACACCATACAAAACTATGCATCTTCAAAAGTGCACATATTCACTGAAATGTCTTTATAGAGCCTAATAATTGCAAAATATATGTTTTTATCTTAAGTTTTAATCCTACTGCACCTGAGGATACCTGATATCTGTAAATGCGGAACACCTTTCACAAGAAGTCTTCCAAAGACATATTATGGATTATATTCTTAATATATTTTGTTACTAGCCATAATCTATATAATCAGTGCACAGACTATCAAGCGTGGCATCATTAGAATCCTTTACAGAACAGAAATTGACTTTGAAGTTCAATTACACATTGGCTAAATCACGTTTCTGGTGATTCTTTCTGGTGATTCTATTCTTACCCATGTACCTGGAAACTACAGGAAAAAGTATTAGAAGTCAATGATCACACCAAATAAACTACAGACAGTAACACACTAGGCAAAGAGATGGGATATAGAAATCTGTTTAAATTAATATCCCTTTATCAGCAGGGATATCAGTAAGCAATACATGGTTGACCTCTAGGCATATTTTGTGATGCCATGTATTTTATCACATCTTATGAAGCAGAAGTTAAAAATAATTCTTCTATAGGCATATTTATATTGTTCAATTGTTAAAATTTACTTAACTCTTAAAGTAAAAAGTTTTCATTTTCGTGCAAGTATTAAAGAAAAACAAAATCCACATATGGGTTGTAGAAACCCACTTCAATTGAGTGGTTATTGCAGACTCTACAACCCAGTATTATTATGTTCCCCTTTTCCTACTGGAATACCTCACTGTATCCCTTCTCCCTCCCTCCCTGCAGCTACCACCATGGCCTTCTCTTCCTCCCCTCACTTCTGAAAATCAGGACACTCTTCCGCGCCTGTCCATGCCTAGGACATGTGCCCAGTGCAGCCCTCCCAGCTGGTTGCTGACCAACCAGAGCACTAATTGGTTACCGCGGCACTTGGCTTGATTAGGCAGCTGCCTAATCGTGTCAGACATATGCTCTCATTGGTCAGTCCCCCTAATGAGAGCATGTAAGGCTCACGGACCAACTGCAGCCTGCACCACATCTTCACACAACTCCAGCAGAGCAAGCAAGAGCTTTTGCTCAGATGTGGCAGTCTGCATCACCGTATGGGGTGGCATAATGCACCTCCAGAACGTTTGGCTTTTTAACTACTATCATGACATATACAATAAATTTCTGCTATCATTCAGATTGGCAGAAGTTCCTATTATCGCAGCATGTTCATTGCCAGGGAAAAAATCTTTTCTGCAGACTCACGACTGAACATTATCATGACAATGATCTCTTCTGGTATAAGAAAAACATATCAGGTGAAAGAAATAACCAAAAATCCTATAGCTGAAACAGCAGCAGGAACATCAGCATGACCATGATCTAGCTAATCAAGCTCTTTGAACTAGCGACTTCTAGAATATTGAGGTCCTTTAGAGGCTGCATCAACTAATAATTGGTTTTGCAAGTTCCCACTGGTACTTTGGTAGTCACTCACAGTAAAGTAAATCTCAAAAGAAAATCCTCCTTTGCATCAAATTTAGTGGCCTAATTTTCTCTGTTGCAATTGCATTAACTTCAATCAGCGATAACTAGGTTGCACTGGGCTTGTTCTTCTATTTATATGGTCAAATTACAAAATCTGTTTTCTGTCAGCTACCTCCACTAGAGTTAGAAAAGCATGCTGATCTTCTAAGGATCTCTTAAAAACTATACTTCCATACAAACGAAAAAAATGAAAAAATGAAAGAACTGCAAAAGGTGACAAAAAAATCACAAAATAAGCAGACATGGATTACTCTCTAACGACAACCTTCTTTATGAAATGCAATATAAGCACTATCGATGTCAGAGAGTTCTGACATCCCACACCCGAAAGTACTTTTCACGGATGGACATCAAATTCTGAAGCTAAATTCAGCATCAAAAGAGTCCTTAGCCGGCAGCAACTTTCAAGGAATAACACTGAATTTAGTTTCAAACTTTACATACACTGTATGTAAAGTGTATTGCTCCACTGTATTGCTTGCCCTTGCAAAAACGTAGTTGTGTACATATACCTGGCACAATTCAGTTTTTTTTTTTTATTCTCCAGAGATAAAGGTGTCTTTCCTCTACACAAAGTAAAGTTGAACAATCTCCCCCTGAAATTATTTTGCTTCATTAAATTAAACTTCTATTAATGTCCTTTTCATTGTTGCTGACAGCCATTCTCTCAAACATCGGATGCTACGTTCATGCTTTCTGTTCTTTCAAACAGTAAGTGATCATCTTAACACTCTGTATTTATGTACACACACCACCCCTTCTGATCAAAAGATAATCTTTGTACCAATGTGTTAAGTGGCACATTTTATCTCCTTCCCATATTAAAAATAAGAGCATCTTGAATACTCCATGCTCAAATTACATGGATTTTCTTTAAGATTAGGGCATGCATTGTAACAGCAGCATATAATTTTCCTGCACAATAATTTTTTTTTCCAGTTGAAAGGTATCCTATAATATCATCAGCATCAACACGAATAGACATTTGATTTTCAGCGAGACAAAGCTTATATGTTTGGTGACTTGACTTTCTATAAAGAATAGTATTCAGATAAAGAGCAGCTACAATGTGTAAAGAACCCGACAGCTCACATTATGACCACAAAATCCTAGAGCAGAACCCAAAAACTGGAGCAATAAGATGGTACAAGTGTTTTATGAATACCCTACTCTTGTTACCCTAATTTTACCCACTATTCATTTTATACATTTAGAAACAAAGTACAAACCACCATACACTGAAAAAAAAAGCCAACACACACAAAAGTTTGATTTTCGTTTAAAAATAGCCTATTTATCTGCAAATTTAGATTTCTTTTCGATGACATATGGCAAGATCTCCAACTCTTCTCAGCCCAGGAAATTTACATCTGCCTGTTCACTCAAGATGCTAAGCATATATGTGTTGACAAATACAGAATATAGCAGATGGCAAAAAGCAAATGCTCAACATGAAGCACTGGGAATCTTCTCAAGGAAGCTTGGACTCGGGCATTTGCCATTTTTATTTTAACAGCAGAATTATATTTAAAAATAAATTCCACCACTGATATCTCTGATACTCATGAAAATCTGTACTTTGAATATTCACCATTACAGATACATCACATCAAGTGTGACCTACTTTACCTACTACCTTATAAACTTTTGAATTTTAAAATCATTAGGCCAGTACAGTTTTTCAAAAAGTTAACTTCTGCAGCTATGCTTAAGTTAGAACTCCCTGTATTGACCACGTAACTCGTCGTGAAACCTCTTCACAAGCAGCACACACAACTACTCATCTGCCATTGCAGCTCCTAACCTGGATTTATTCTGCTGAATCACTACAATCACACCACAAGCCAGTATTATTTTAAGTTAATACAAAAAAAAAAGGGGGGGGGGGGGCAAATGTAGTTTTGGGTCTGTTCTATTTCATTTTTTTTCATGAGTTGTTTGCCAACTCATTTCAGAGTTCATCTTTTATATATGGTCTTAATTTAATTATTATACAGAGGTCCATAGTTAAATATGCTAATTCCATCATATTAAGAAGCACTGAGGTGAGCTAATATACAGGAGGATTGCTTAGGAAACTCAGCTGAAAAGTATGGATATTAAAATGTGTTAATTGGTAAAATGGTCTTGAAAACCATTTAAGGAGGCTAGGAAAAAAAATGGGGAGGGGGAAGTAGGGACAGGTGGGAAGAGGCATCAATTTATTTCTAACCTAACAAGAATTAATTTCTCCTAAAATGCCATTTAGTTCACCTCACCAAAAAAATCCAGGTTTTTACCATTTTAATTCTGACATCTCAAATTAAAGCAAGAGTGCATATGCATAGCTAACCTAGCATTCTGCCAATACTGACTATGTAGCTACCAGTTATTTAAAAGAATCAATATAATACCAAGTTCTCCTCTCCTCCTTTTTTGTCAGGAACATCAATGTGCACCTTTTCTCTCTAGCAGCTCATCAGATTTCATGAAATTTACAACAGCTTAGTTATCTTGGGATTTATATTTGTCTATTGAATTTGGTTGAAAATGGCCAATAGTATCAAAATCAATTGAGAAGATTTAATCGCATATGAGATCTTTTCTCACAAAGTCATGCCAAAGTATAATTTGAGCAAAAACTCAGAGCTCAGGGGAAGGAATAATACAGGAGAGCCAAGAACAGTATGAAGTAACCTGATGAACCTGTGAGATTTTTGTGCATGGATACCAGGAGAATGGAGGGGGCGGGAAAGGAGAGAGAACTTGAAGTGGATAACCAAAAATGTAATTTTACACAAATGCACCAGAAACTTTCAAGTAAGATCTAAAGTTAATAGTTTTGTACTTTTTTCCTATCTATTTTCTACCACCTTACTACAGACTGTCAGAAAGAACTTGCTCTTAAAGATAACCACTATTTATGATGGGTTACATTTGGAACCCTGACTACAGGCATGATGGCCAAGAGCACAAGTACCAATCAACACATTTCATGACTATGTTACTTCAAACAACCAGTGACCTTTCTTGACCTGCAAGTCTCATTATTGTTCCATCAGGGGCTGGACGCAATATTTGACTCAATTCAATTTTGGCTTCATTCACAAGTTCTTGGCAAACCTGGGATATTTATTGATATTTTGGAACTGGACTACCAACTTCTGTATGTTATGATAAATTGTAAGCTCTCAACATTTGTCTTGTACTTAAACCAACCTCAACATACTGATATTGTAAATGTATTCTGATTAATCATATGTATAGAAAAACTATCAAATGAAGCGTGCAATTTTTACTTTAAGGAGGTTTGCAAAGTTATTTTTGCATGATTTCAGTAACAATAGCATACTTACTAACAATACCAGCTTTTGGTACTTCCGTTTTAGTTCTGTCAGACTGTCTGATGGCTCTGCACCCAAGATTTTGTACCAGTCCTTTTGGGCAGTCTTTTCAAAAGCCATAGTCCAAAGGGCTAAGAAATTCCTTTCTTAGCGCTGCTAAACAAATGAAATAATAATTGTAACTTGAGAAGAAGTAAAATTAAAAGGGAGAAAAAATGCAAACTATGAAATTGTGAAAAAGACTGTGGCCCTCACACATACCTCTCTCCCTACTTAAAATGTACAGTGCGAGAAAGAGTTTATTAATTCACATGGTCAAAACATCCCACAGATTTTACAATACATAGCAAATGCATTAACCTATTACTTTCCCTGTCCTTAAGGGTATCATGCATCATAGGAAGTCCATGAATTCTTTTGAATCACTTAGCACTTTATACGCTATTCTAACCTACCCATGCAATAAATAATACACACTTAAAAAAAAAAAAAAAAAAAAAAAAAAAAAAGGCCCTGTAATATCTTAGGAAAAAAAGGGTATACAAAAGCGCGACGACTTATGTTGTCATCCCTGGAAGCAGGCAGAGAAAGTTAATTCCAGCAGTGACACGGATATTACACCCACCGCTGAGCGCTGAGCACGGCGCACGGCGCCTCCTCGGCGCGGCGCGAGGCGGCGCAACGGCGGCGCAACGGCCGCTAACGGTCGCTAACGGTCGCTAACGGCCACCGAGGGCGCGGAGCGCCGAGCCCGCCCTCCAGGGGGGCGCGCGGAGCGCCGCACGTCACAGTGCGCCTCGAACCCACCTGCGCCGCGCCTCAGAGCTGGCAATGGCGGCCTTCCGTGCGCGGAATTAACTCGTCCGGGAGGAAACAGCTCCCCGCCTTACACACGCCTCGAACTTAGCTCGGCGAGCGATGCGCAGCGGGAGTAGCGATCCGCAGGCCTTCGCGCTCCGGCTTGCCTGTTTCCGCCCGGGCACTAGTAGCGCTGGCACCGGCAGGAAGCGGAGGGGGACGCTGTCGCCATGGCGACCGGCGGCGTTTCGGCACGGCGGCAACGGTCGCGACGCTCCCGGGGTGCCGGTACGTGGAGAAACGGTTTGTTGGGAAGGGGGAGGAGAGGAAAACTGTGGAGGCGGCGGCGATGCCATGCAATTTTAGGCTGAATCCCCTATTTTCCTTTATATATCCCTTATTTGAGTACCTTAATCCAGTTTGTAACGCAGCATGAACACAGAAAAACTGAGCATTTGTATCTAGTAATAAATTTCTCTGTAATGTTCAGTATAAAATTAATTATATAAATATTATGGAAATATCATATTATGGCAATAGCTCTGAATCCAGAACAATTTCAGAGGTCCATCTTTTTTCCCCCCTACACTTGCTTAGCAGCAGAATAGGCTGTTTAATGTTATACTTAAAGGTTCGCGAACTGCAAAATGCATGAGCTACAAAAAAAGAGCCGCTATAGGTTTAGCTTGCATTATATTATATTCTTTGTGCCTCAGTTTCTTATTTAATGATTTTCCTTTCCGAGGGAAATCAGTGTCTTAGGTTTTAAGGTAAAATACCTCAGGGATTAGGTTTAGTTGATCGTAGCCTGTCTGCGTAATAAGTTTTGAAGATGCTGACCAATTCCAACCCAATTGTATGAAATAATCTCAAGATTTGGTCAAATCATGTAGTTCTGAGGAGAGAAGGCTCCATGATAAATCAGCCATGGCTTTCAGCAGCTCCTAGTTGCTCCTGAAGCAGGTAGTTCCAAGTAGTCATAAGAACTGATGCTTTTCCCTTCTCTCACCAAAACAAAAGCAGGGAGGCCCCGTGGGAAGTGTTGGAAACTTGCCGTACAAGTCAGAACGTGTGGGAAAAATGAGGCAATTTGCAGTGTATCCGAGACTGAAGTCATGGAGAGGATCTGGAGCTGTTGTAATGGAAAGGAGTAAGAAAGAGAAGACCCAAGTCTATATAAAACCCATGTTTATTATTTCCTTGCATATCTTCAAGTATATTTCTGTTTATATAAGTATACAGCTGCTATTGATTTCACTGCAGCTGGACACCTACATGTTTTAAAGTCATCTTCCCATGGTAAATGTAAGCTAATATATACTTAGGCTGAGTTTTGTTGTTGTTGTTGTTGTTTTGTCTTTTGAGGAAAATTTAACATTTTATTATAGCCTTTATTAAAAAGTTATATTGTATTGTGCTACGTTGTGATAAGAGTAAGATTAGGGAAAGAATTTTCTGACTTGTGTAGCAATTCCCTGGGCTACTGTGTTGTGTTTTAACACAATAAAGGATAAAGTGAATTTTATTTTATTCTTTTAAGAAGCTTTATTTTTAAGAATTAAGAATTTTTGTTTTTCATAATGTATTTAGAGTAGTAAAGTTTTTTTGTGGCTTTTCTGTTTGTATTGGTTTTATATTGCAATAGAAATGTACAAAAGATTGATGCGAGCATAGATTTTATGTTAATCAGAAGGCAAATCTCAAAAACAGGATTATTTACCACTTAGAACACTCTGAATATTTGAGAAGTAAGGAATTGTGAGATTAATACCTTTCTATAGTTGAAAAGTTATTTAATATAACTAATTCCCATCTGGACAACCATGTCCCTATCTGGACAGGACTTAAGTGTGCATTTCAGTACTTCATTTTCTTAATAGGAAACACTATTCCTGTTTTAGTTTGTTAAGTTTTCATCTGTCTTATTCCTGTTTTTTTAATGTAGTATTAGAGTCTTCTCTGCTTTTGTATTTTATGACTGAGAAGAAGTAAGAATAAAAGTAATAAAGCCAGAAGAAACCACCAGATTACTTAGTCTGAACTTTTGTATATTTGGAGCTGTTCTGTCTAGCTATCAGCCTTAGAAAATGAGAAATTCCTCATTTCTGAGACAGTCTGTTTCAATAGCTAATTATCCTAATGATAAAAATTGTGCCTAATTCTAGATTTGATTTTGTCTGGCTTCTCTATTCAGCTGTCAATTCTTATTACATCCTTTGCCTTAAATTATAGAGCCTTTTAGCATTAATAAATACCAACACAAACAGCCACTGAATATTTTTTTCTGTTAAATTTAAGAGACTGAAGACTTGTAATTTTTTTCACTGTAAGATTTTCTCTTAAATAATTTCTCTATTTTTATTTCTCCATCTTTCTGACGTAAGGTTTAAAGTGGCAATTAACAGGAGCTATATATAGTATTTTATTATAGCTTCTTGCCAATACTCCTTCTGGACTGCTGAGTTAGTTTTGACCGTTCAGCTGAGAATAGTAAGGATTTTTTTCAAATGAATTGTTCTGTCAGAACTGACTCAAGGAACGGTGTGAGGGAGAATTATGTCTCTTGGGAACACTTGTTTCACTACCAAAGATAAAACAATTTGTTCAACTTAGGACACTGTTATTTTTTGTTTGTTTTTAAAAGTATGTTAGATAGCTGAGTGTTATGCTCTTCCAAAATTTAATTGGGTCATATTTGTCAATAGTAAAAAAGAAAAAAAAAATTTTGTCTCCCAGGAGATGTGTGATATTATAGACAAAATGTCATAATGATATCAAAAAATGAGATGTAACATGCAGTGAAAATATATGTTTCCCATTAAATCTCCACAAAATGATTGAAAATGTCTTGGGAATTATTTAAGCAATTTACCATATTGTTTAAAAAGGTACATCTGGGTACAGTGAGTACAGTCTTTTGTTGTTCGTTAACAATGTATTTAATGAGTTGTTTTTTAAGTGATAGATAGTTAAGGTAACAGACAAGTGACAGATTGTTTGTCTTGAACGATTTCCCTACTTCAGGCCCATTACAAAGCAATTAGAAATTTGACAGCATTTTTACTCTGCATTACTAATCATCTAAAGTGATGAGAAATGAGAGGTGCTGAATATTAATTATATATTTTCATACAATTATCATAAATTATTACCTTGTCTAGTGTGCTGCAGGTGTAGGAAAGTCAAGAGATGGAAATGCAGTCAAATATGATAATTTGAAAGATTTCATGGCTGTAAAGTTTTTGTCTTTAAAGTGGAGTGTCAATCAGCTGAAAGCAGGCCTGTATTAACTGGGGGAAAGCTAAAGCTCTCACATCTTTCCTTCCTTCTTAGCACGGGTCAGTAGTAACTCTTGGGCCACAAGACACATTCAGGTTACACTATGGCATAACTTGCACTGTTTAGGTCGGAGCTGTATACTCTGTTTTTTTTTTTTTCTCCTATGAATACTTATTTAATGTTGGCACATTAAAAAAACATTAAAAGTCAGGCACTTGGGATTCAAGAACCAACTGTTCTTATCTTTTTTTTCCACTTTCTTTATAAATATCATGGGCATTTCATATAATGGGTACCTATACATAGTTACTAACACAGTATGGTTTGAAATTAAGGATCTAACTTAACAGTACACTAACATTGTCTGATAATGTTCTGTTAATATGGTATATTCTAATCCATGTTTTCATCATAAAGGGATTTCCTTTCAGAAGCTGTGCTAGAAAAGGCTTGATTCCCTTACTGTTTTCCTGCAAATGGCAAAGGTAGCATGAATAGGATGGACAAGAAACATGCAACACAATGAAGCAACAGCTTTGGTGCCGGTGTTGCTTGCAAACATGATGGATAGGCAATATTTCACAGTCTATGCTAGTTGTAGCTCCTTAATAAATTTAAATATTAAGTTTCAACTGAAGGTATTGTTTGAAGGTACAGCTATGCTATCTCTAGTGGTCACTAAAAGCAATAAAATTCTGCTGCCATTCCTTTTCCCCTAAACCTCCTGCCACAAACTCCTCCTGCTTAATTTGCATCAGCCATTCACCTGCCATTCAGGTGACCACATGAATTAATTCATGGAGATAAATAAACAAAGTCTAATTCTCCTAGGAAAAAAAAAGAGAGAAAAAAAAAAAAAAACACCCACAGTTTTCCTGATTTAGCTTCCTGGAACAGATTTGTGGTGCATCAGTGCTAGCACTGAGCAGGCAGCAGAACTTGTCCCGAACAGGAGGAAGAGATGGAAGAAGGGAAAGAAGTCTGCCTCTCTTGATGTCAGCTAGCCATCACATCATGCTGCTTTATCATCAAGCTGAATACTGAGCTAAGACCAAATAAAATTTGTAACAGCACATAATAAATTGTCTGAGGATAACACATGGCCAAAAAACATTTGAAGGTTGGAATGTTACAGACTGCCAAAGTGTAGGACTCTCAATTTCCCTTTGCTGAATTTACCTTCATGAGGTTCCTCTCTGCCCATTTCTCCAGGCTGTCAAGGTCCCTCTGAACGGCAGCACAACCATCTGGTGAATCAGGCACTCCTCCCAGTTTTGTACTGTTGACATACTTGGTGAGGGAGCACTTGGTCCCATCATCCAGATTATTAATGAAGATGATAAAAAGTATTGAGCCCTTGTGGATAGTGCTAGGGATTCACCTCCAGCTGGACTTCACGCCACTCACTGCAACCCTCTGAGCCCTGCAGTTCAGACACTTTTCAGACCACCTTACTATGCACTAATTGTGCCCTACTTCATCAGTTTCTCTATAAGGATCTTATATGAGACAGTGTCAAAAGCCATGCTGAAGAAGAGACACATAACGTTCACTGATCTCCCTTCATGCACCAAACCAGGTCATTTACCTCATCTCCACAGACAGACTTTGTCATGAAAAAAAAAAATTATCAAACAACTGGTAGCATTTTTGTTTACCGTGTGTATGAGCAAAAGTCTTTCAACAGTGGATTGTCTGTTAAGCATCAGCAAACTGAACTTGCAGCATGGTCAGCACTCCTGAAGGCATATAAAACTATTCACAACGGAATTATTGTTGTGGTTTGGTGTTAAAGAGTGATAGTAATCTCAGGTATTACTGAGATAGTAATCTCAGTAATCTCAGAGAGAATTATATGCCCTGCTTACATAAAGTCCTATCAACAAGTAATAGAACTATCTACCTTGCTTAAACCTTGCCATGGTGATTTATATGACATGATCACATGTCTACATTTTGTAAACTCTGAAAATACTAAAGGAATGTACTTTCAAACATCCATTTAAGAA